AAAAATGGTTAAAATCAAGTAGATCTATAAACATATGAAAATCTTGACAATAGACGATCTAGATAATGTATTACAAGATGCACTATTTTTGGGACTCAAATTTTTTTTTATATTCGTACATCTCGATGTCGAGATGATCAATTAGAGGCTTTTTCAACATTAAATTAACCTTTTTTCGATGGATTTTTGAGGTGCATATGTAATTCTACATTTTAAGATTGCAACCTTATATAATTTTTTGTGTTGATTTTTTATTTATTTTTAATTTAAACTGTACTCTGGCAAGTTACTCGGGCTCACCCGAGTAACACGGCTAGGGCAAGGGCCAAAGTACCTTAGATTTTCTTAATCTTGATATAACCTATATGGGACAGAAAAATCAAGCACCTCCCTTTCAATATCAATTATTAGAAAGGAACAAGGGAACAAATTACCTATTTACACAAAAAAAATCCAACAAATTACCTTTCCAATATGAGTTCTTGGGTTAAAGCTGTACCAAAAGAAACGAAACAAGCAACCCTTCCTGTACCAGTGGACAGAGAGAGAAGAACCCCACCACATTGCCTTTCTTTACTTGGATATAAACTTAGAAAGAGATTGAGAGTGGGATGTCCGATTCTATGATATTTATTTTTGGGAAAAGTTTATATAGAGCCGAGGCTCTAAACAATCAAATTGAAGCCTACCTAAAAAATTTTATTAGAAGAGGTTGTTTTGATGCTCAAATATCCTCAAATCAATCATCTCGACATCAAGATACATGGACATGAGAAAAAAATAGATTTCAAATTTTCGAAATAGTGCATCTTGTAATACATTTTTGGACCATCAATTTTCAATATTTTCAAGTTTTCATAAATCTGCTTGATATATATTATTTTTAAGCTTTAAATTCTATAATTAGAGATAAAAATATATTTTAAGGCTATTACAAATATTTTCAATTTTGAAACTATAATTCTCGACACCATTTAAAGGTGGGCTCTACTTTGATTGCTTAGAGCCTTGGCTCTATGTAGAACACACCCTTTATTTTGTGCAAAAAATTCAACTTTATTTTGCGTGAAAAGTTTAACTACAAAGACAGAATTAAGAATGTGTTTCATCACAACTAAACCATGAAAAACGTTTAGGTTAAACATCCAAAACGTTGGGAGCCATATAAAGTCCACCCAAGTTTAAGACTTCGTTTTGGGAGCCATATAAAGTCCACCCAAGTTTAAGACTTTGGTTCATTCCACCACGTGGGTATGGGGTCGGTGACAGAGAGATGTGCTGCTCCTGAAGAAGGCCAAGGACTGCGAAAATAGGAGAAAATGACATGAAGGTGAAAAGTGTGGGAATGCGGAGCCTGCATTTCCTGGCTTTTTTTTAAAAATAAGAAAAAGCCCGGAAATGCACACCTCTTGTCGATTTCTCCCCTTCTCAATTTGTCTTTGCCAAATCTATAGCCAAGAAAATCTATAGCCAAGCTTTCTAGCCTTTTCACAGAAAGGTTACCAAACAAAGATTCTCAGCTTTCTGATAATAGTTTCTATTTCTTCTTTTTTCTTGAGCTTCCAATTTTTCTGAGATTTTTTAGAATAAAGTATAGAAAGAAAAAAGAAAGAACGAAAAATTACAAAAAACACCCTAAAATGGACTATCTATGCAACTTACCCCACCCTAATCTTTTCTCTTATTTTTTCTTCCCAAAACAACATTTCCTTGCAAAAACCCCCCAGATAAAAAATTATTATTTTTTGGACGAAATGCCCTTCTTGTACAAACCAAATAATTTCGTGGGTCCCAAGTAGCATACTGCCGGAGCATGTTTTTACACTGCCGGAGTGCATTCTCATAATGCCGGAGTGCTGTGGCTCAGACCTGCATTGTCGGAGCACACATTCAGAATGTTGGAGCGCTTGTTTATACTTCTAGAACGCGGACCTCCATTGCCGAAGCGCTGTGGCTCCAGAAACTTCATTGCTGGAGCGCATCTTTGCACTACCGGAGCTAGTTCTCATAATGTCGGAGCGCTGCGGCTTAGACCTGCATTGCCGGAGCACACATTTAGAATGTCGGAGCACGTGTAAAAACAAGAGAGAGAAGGCCGTGTGAAAACAAACAAAGGTAGCTTAATCTTATTTCATGCTACTTTTGGGTTAGGGGGTTATTTGCGAGAAAAGGTATTTTGGGGGAAAAAAGTGAGAGGAAAATTTGGAGTGGGGGTAAGTTATATAGACAATCCATTTAGGGTGTTTTTTGTAATTTCTTCAAAAAAAAATCTGTATGACTCGGCATAAAAAAGCAGTATATTACTAAATTCCTAGATGTGTGATGGATATTGTATGACGGTACCACATAGAGTTTAAAGACCATATGCCTAAATTCATTTCGGGACCATGAAAAACATGAGTGATGCATACGATATGATATGACGTAGTGAGCGATGCATATTAGAGTACAGAAAAATTATGTATCCACACTTCTTCCAATCATTTTTAACAAATTGATTACATCTTCTATGTAAATTACCAGGACCAGCCCCTAGACGAGGGCCCAGTTGTTTTCACACAACTACTCACTCACCTGTCTAGCAATTACAACACGGGATGGAGTAGATATGTCTTCAAATGTTTTTTATAACTATTTACTCTTACAGGACTCTACAGTCTATTTACTCCCTCGGCCAAATACATGTTAATGTTTTTTATAACTATTTACTCTTACAGGACTCTACTGTCTATTTACTCAGTCGGCCAAATACATGTTAATGATGTTTTTTAGATCTCAAATTTTGGGAATATAAACTCTACCACCTATAGAATAATTTTAGCAAAAAAAAATTCCGTTGAGCGCTGTAATTGTGAGACGGGCAGGCATTGTGAGAAAAAAAAAAAGAAAAAGAAAAAAAACAAACAAGAAAAACGATAAAAAAAAAAAAGAAAGAAAAAAAAAAGAAAAGAAAAAAGGAGCCACAGGGTGATCATTGTAATTTCTACCGAAAATGTACCCATTTTGTAATACATAGGTGGCAACAATGCCCATATGTGATTTTCCTGGAGTATAAAGCCATTAGTCCCTCAACCACTCTTTCCAACCCCATTCCTTGGACCCCCTTCTCTTTCTCTCTCTAATCCTTCAATCTCTTTCAAGAGTTAGGATTCATGTTTGAGTTGTTTCCCAATCTGTTCTAAAGAGCAGGCTATCTGTCTCGACCTCTTCTAGAGTTGGGTTGATCTCTACCTCTCTGTCTCAGTCTCGATGGCCTCACTCCATTTTGTCCCACAATGGATGCCGAGCTCGACCCCAACACAATCCCCTAACCCTTTCCTTAGCCACCCTCCCTTCCAACATGAATCCGAAGGGCACATCTCCCTTGATGAAATTACTCCGGAACCATTTCAAAGAAACCCGAGCCTAAGAGTCTCTGACATTGAGGAAGATGGATTGGGCACCAGCAAACGCTTCTTCCACCTCCATGCACCAGCTCTCCAACCAGGCAATATTCTCTCTGAGCCCACTTATGGGAGAAGTGTCGAAATTGGCAGGACCAAGCACAAAGTGGATATGGATCCACAAGGCTCGGCTGGTTCTGGTGTGTCACTAACGTGGACCAACCTATGTGTCGTGGCTCATGGGAAAAAGGGTGCACGCACAATTTTAAGGGGGCTCAATGGGTGCGCCCAATCAGGCGAGTTTTTGGCTATCATGGGTCCATCAGGTTGTGGAAAGTCGACCCTTCTCGATGCACTTGCTGGTTCGAGGCTTTACTTAGACTTCGTTTTGTTTATTTATTTGCTTAATAGATGTCCTTATTGGTTTAGGTAGGTTTTTGGGATTGGGGCTCGGGTGCCCTGTTTGAATGAACATAATTTTAGAAACAGTACTATGTTTCTGTCCATCATTTTAAGTAGCAGCCTGGCCCAGTCAACCAGGCCTTAAAAAGCTAAGGCATGGGCTACAATAGCCCGAGGGCTGGGCCTAGGCCAAGGTAAGAGAGGGCCGGCCTGGCCCCTATTTTTTTTATCTTTATTATTTTGGTTTTGCCTTTCCTAGTAGTAGTGGCCTGGCCTAATCAACCTGGCCTTAAAAAACTAGAGCATGAAGGCTCGCCCGGCAAGTGCTGTCCCATTGCCTTCCCCAATGGGAAGCGTAACAAAGCTGTCGACTTGGTTCCTCCCTATTTTTAGGGGATCCTGATTTCAGTAAGCCCACATATATAAAAAGCGGTAGAAGTAAGCAGAAATGGCTTTGCAATAATAAAGTTTTAAATTGGATGAAAATAAAGTATTTGAAAGTAGAAGGTTCAAATAATGCATTACAAAATGCACTATTTTCAGAATTTTGAATTTTATTTTTCATATCCACACACATTGTAAGGTCAAACTGTTCAATCAGGATCTCCAAGCATCATAATATCCTTTTCCAGTGGGTGTTTGAGGCAAACCTAGCTTTTATACTATAATATTGACACCTTATATAAATTTTTCCTTCTCTATATGAGTATGTTTAGTGGGGAGCCGCAGGCTCATAAGCTATCATTCAAAAGATACAATTTTATTATTTTTCTTTCCAAATTTCATAATTTAAATAAGAACAAGTTCTATTTACTAATATAATTAATAATTAAAATTTTTCTTTGAAATATAAATCAATGGGCTCCTTATAATTCGAGAATTTAAATTTAATGTATAAAGAGATAAACTTAACTCATGAGGACTCTAATGTAGAAGGATAACATATTTTCTAATTAGCTAATTTCAAAATGCAAAAATTTGCATAAAAAAAATTAAAATGATAAATTTTAAAGTATTTTTCTTATTTTTATTAAATTAAAAACTCAAAGAAATAAAAAATATAACATTTACTGCAGATTCACCTTGAAATTTTGGCTAAAGGAATTCCCATAAAACTGTAGCTCTAAACCCTTGGGGACCATACTAGCTTCATAGGCATACCATGGTCCAATATTCCACCGTCCTTAGGAATTCTTAGGGAATATTCCTAGACCATATTATCAAGTCTAAAGATAGATATGGGATTCCCAATTCTAATCCAATTAGACACCAATTTGAAGCCTATATATACCCCTCTAGCCTTCTACAAATAAAAAATATAGATAATTCTAGAAAATAACCAAAAAAATCCCTTAGCTATTAGAGATCCAAAAATCCTTTGAAATTAGAGAGAATGAACACTAATTATTATCAATAAGGAATAAATACTATATCAAGATAGTGCACTAATGTACCTAAAAATTGAGGATCTTCTCTTCTATTATTTGCAAAACTGCCAAGCAAACTAATTTTTCAAACAACTGCTCCTAGTTATTACACCTAAAATTTAAAAACTTCGGCGTGTCAGGAAGTTCAAAAAAGAATTTAAGAGCTTGAGCCCAAACAATGGCAATCTCCATTACCTTGATTTTACATATAAGGTCCTAATCACTCAAGACCACCATGTATGAAATGTAAATGTCATACTTTTCCCTTAATATAACTATTGGGTCACCGAAATTGTCATCTCAATGTTCATCTCTGGTTTGTCTCATGGGCATTTCAGCCATTCCCTTTCATTAAAATGGATATTATTTCGTTCTTTTTTTAGTTAATCCAAGAGGCTCTTTGTAATATCTCGTTAGAGGAAAGGGGTTTTAGAGGAGAAAATAAGGGCAAAAAATTTTTGAGTGAGAGAGAAGTTTTGCGAGAATTATGCTACAAAATAGGGAACAGCTTAAGGATTAGGGTGTGGTTTTTATAAGGTTGCAACCTCAAACAATCCAATTAAAGCGTACCTCCAATTTTATCATAATATAATTTGGTTGAATTTTTTTTTTGGATTATCTTAAAATCTATTTTCATATCTAATTATAAAATTTTGAAGTCCAAAAATAGTAAAAAACAAGTAGATCTATAAACATTTGAAAATCTTGAAAATGGATGGTCAAGATAATGTATTGCAAGATGTACTATTTCTGGGACTCAAAATCTTTTTTGTTTTTTTTTTATTCATACATTTCGGTGTCTAGATGATCACTTGGAGGTTCTTTTCAACACTAAAACAATATTTTTTGGTGGATTTTTGAAGTGCATCTGTAATTCTACATTTTAAGGTTGCAACCTTATATAAACTTTTTCCTAAAGATTATAAGTTTTTATTTGCACTTGATAGTTCTTTTTTCATGGGGTTTATGTGAATTGAGAATTTAATATAATCTGATTACTAGTCTCCTTCACTTGGATTGATTTGATTGTTAGGGAGGTTGAGTTCTAATGTAGTGCAAATGGGGGAGATCCTTATCAACGGTCGGAAACAAGCCCTGGCATATGGAACCTCGGTATGGACATAGCTTACTTACTGCATTATGGTTAATTCTGGATTTTACTTTGTTTAGGCTGCACACTAAAAACCATGGTTCCATAAAATTCTTATTAGTATGTGGTACACGATAGGAACATCTGTGGTCCATTTAGTTACAGAAGAGTCAAGATAAACTATAATTCTTGATGATGGGCACACTCAACTGGATATAGTTAATCTCGACCTTTCATTATTTTGAAGGCCGTACATGTTACTATTGTGTAGAATATACTATGTGCATTATCATCATCATCGGAGCCTTATCCCAACCAATTTCTAATAGGTTATATTAGGATGCTCATATTATATCGTATTTTATAATTGTACTCAACAAATTTTAGACACTTTTATATCCTTGTTTTGTACATAGAGTATTTTTTTTATTAAGTGCATTTTTTATCATTAGGAGGGGTGTGACATCATTTACATGGGGTGTGACATCACCCACATGAAACACATTAGTGATATTTAATGCTCCATGTGAGTCATGTCATACCCCAAGTGGGTAATGTCACACCCTCTTAATAACCAAATATACCTTTACTAAAAAAATGCTCCATGTACAAGAAAAAGGTATATAAGTGTTCAATTTTTTTTTAGTATAATTATAAAATACTAACTTATGTGAGCACCCTAATATAACCTATTTCTAATACATATAGATCAGTTGTTTCATGTGGGTGGACCGCATTTTCACAATATACGGTCTAGAGGTATAAAGCATCCATCATAAAGATGGATGCAAATAGGTGGTCCATCTAAAAACAATTGTAGCAAACGGTACAAATGTTTTTTTTTAACATAATTAGTATTTCTAGTTTTCAAAATTTATTTATTTATTTTCATATTCATGATTTTAAATATATTATTTAAAAATTAGGATCAAATTATATTTAAAGAATATATTTATTGCCAAGCCCGCATTGTATGTGGGCTTGCCGCATGCTAACCGCGTCCATACATTTAAGCATAATTAATTTTTGGGATGTAGGCTTATGTGACCCAGAATGATACACTCATGAGCACTCTAACAGTATGGGAAGCGGTGTACTACTCAGCCCAGCTCTTGTTGCCAAGCACCATGTCGAGCTCTCAAAAGATAGAGAGGGCTGAGATAACCATTCAAGAGATGGGTTTACAAGACGCAATACACACAAGGATTGGGGGCTGGGGGGTTAAGGGACTCAGCGGTGGCCAAAAGAGAAGAGTGAGCATTTGCATTGAGATCCTCACGAGACCTAGCCTTCTCTTTCTTGATGAGCCCACTAGTGGGCTCGACAGTGCTGCGTCTTACCATGTCATGACTCGAATTGCCTGTTTGGCCCGTCATGATGATCGAACTGTGGTTACTTCGATACACCAGCCTAGTGCTGAGGTCTTCGGCCTCTTCAACACACTATGCCTCCTCTCCGGTGGGAAGACACTGTATTTTGGCCAGGCTTCGGAAGCCAATGACTTTTTTACACTCAATGGCTTCCCTTGCCCTTCATTGAGAAACCCATCGGATCACTTCCTCCACACCATCAACACCGATTTTGACAAGGTAACAGGAATAGGTTATTTAAAAAATAAATAAAAAAAAAGTAATGGGAATATGCACAAGCTCTCTATCTTATATTTATATGTGGGTAAGGCTTCGAATGGAATGGGCAGGTGGATGGATTTTTGAGCTGGTACGGCCAAGGTTGAAAACACTTTATAATATCATTAAAAGGGGTCAAAAGATTACAAATTACATTTGGAACATGCTTTTAAATTTTCATATTAAATAGGCATTTTCATAAAGATAATGTTGAAAATTTCCCAAATTGCTCCTGTTTAGTATTTGGAAGCAAGAACAATTGGGATAGTGTAGTAATTTTATCCCCAAAGAACAATTGGGGTACTTTGGTAATTTTATCCTCAAAGAGAAATTTATGTCATTCGTTTAAACCTCTTTGGGGGTAAAATTATTAAATTACCCCTTAATATTTTGGCTTCCCAACACCAAAGGCAATTCGGGTATTGTTTATGAGGAAATACATGATTGATACAAAATTTTAAAATATGTTCTCAAGCGTAATTTATAATATTATGACCCTCTTTATTGACATTGTAAGGGGGTTTCAACCACTGTTTTGATATTTTTTCAAAGAAAACAGCCCACTGGCCCATTGGGCCTCAATTATTTTTGGGTGGGGTCAAGCCATCCCTTGCCAAGCTGGAAAATATATATAATCTATATTTATACGATGGCCATATCCAGCCCATTAGTTTTTCAGGCTGCCTCATGCCAAGAATGCAATTCCTAGATTCAGACCTTGCCCGGGCCAAGCATAGTTGCAACACTAGTATGTGGTTGTTGCTTGTTGCTAAGAAGTAGTCATCTTCCTTAGGATATTGAACAAGGTTCCGATGCCGAGGCAACAGAAGCTGGTAAGGCGACTGATATCTTAGTCAACTCTTACAATTCCACCATTGCCAACCAAGTCTTTGCTCGTGTAGCTGATATCTCCAATAGGGTAAGAAAGCTCTCTCTCACTCTCTTAGAGCTGAGAATTTTTCTGATCGGGTTCAGATCTGGATTTGAAAAGTATAAATTGGATCCATATCTGGAACTGATCAGATCCAGATCTGGATCCAGATCAAAATACGGATTCATATTAGTTTCAATTTTATCTATTATAAAGTTAAATTATAATTATAAATATTATATATAAATTAATAAATATACAAATAATATATATATATATATATATATATATATATACGCTATGTTAAAAAATTGGGTCGGATCTTATACCAGGATGCGACCTGAGATGTGTGTGTAACCCTTGAAAGATTTATTATAGGAGGGAGAAGCATTGACAAGGAAAGGGAGCCAAGCAAGCTTCTTTACACAAGCATCCACCTTAACAAGAAGATCTTTTGTGAATATGTATAGGGATTTCGGTTACTACTGGTTGCGCCTAGCAATCTACATTGCGTTGTGCGTGTGCATAGGTACCATCTTCTTTGACATTGGCCACAGCTTTGGCTCTATTCAGGTTAGTGTGATCCTTAAGCTTCAATCAAAAGTTGAACCGCCTTTGCTTTCTACCTCCTTGATATCATGGTTTTCTTATGTTTTTGGTTGGCAAATGTTGTAGGCGAGAGCATCCATGCTCATGTTTGTTGCAGCATTCTTGACGTTCATGGCGATTGGAGGCTTCCCCTCCTTTGTAGAGGACATGAAGGTCCCTTTTAATTACCATTTTTTCATATAGCTTTTTCTTTTACAATGATAATGACAATCCAGTAGATTGTAAAAATGATGGCTCAATTAGAACACTAAAAAAGACATCAAGAATTGGGGGACCATGAATCTATATCAAAAACTTAGAGCTTAGGGGGTCGTTTAGTTCGCGTGAAAATCTGATAGAAAAATATGTTTTTTTGATGAAAAGTTCTATAACTTTAATAAAAACTACTCAAAGGAGATTATATCATCAAATACAACAGTCTAAGAAAGCACCCCCTTTATCCAGCGAATTAGACAGCCTTTTGTTCTCCTTTGCACCACTTTATAACATTCACAGAATCGCCTTCTACCACACATGAGGATCCCACGTTTCTTGCAATGATAATTTCAGCCCATAAATCAGTGCATAGAACTCTGCATTGTTGGTTGTAGTCTCACTAAGAGGACCCGCATATGTAAACAAAAGATTTCCTTTGCAATTTTTCACTACTCCTCCATAGCCTACTAAACCCGGATTTCCCAATGAGCTACCATTAAAGTTTAGTTTAAAAAAACCCTTCAAAGGCAGAGCCCAATTGCCTTTCGACCTTCTTCTGATGAATCCCATCTGAAACAGATTTGATAGATTTCTCCTAATATCCACCTCCGATATATACTCCCCTCCTTTAGCAGCAGATAACCACAACCACACAGTGTGCACAATCTTTTCAATGATCCTTTCCATAGGTAAACCAATCTCGTCAAAGGTCTTTTTATTTCTTTCTTTCCTCACCTCCCAGATGACAACTCCTCTAACTATTTGCCAGATCAACTTTCCTAACTGCGGCAGCCGTGGTAGAGAGAGATTAGAAATAATTCCTTTCACCTCTTGGGGGAATACCATTGAACACCCCACTTGTGAAACAAACTAGGACCAAATTCTAGAAATGAAAGGGCAATGTGGAAACAGATGAGCACCTGTTTCACAATTTCCCTTGCACATCAAACATACATTAGAGAGGATCTTCTCCCTCTTAATAAAATTGTTCACAGTCAATATCTTATCGTGAACAGCCAAGCATAAAAAAGCTTGAACTTTATGAGGTATCTTCCACTTCTACATTTGAGCAACTTCCAGCTTCGACCATCTCCAATGATTATGGAATAGAAGGCGATAGATTGACTTCACTGAAAAGATGCCATTTGACTCAATCTCGCAAACTACCTCATCTTTTGCCATTTGACGAACATAAACTCGGTTCAGGATCTCCAAGAGAAAATTTATCTGGGCTAACAGTGTTTTGGTGCACATACCCTATCTACCTCAAAAGATACCCTATCTAGCTCAATGAGCCAAAACACTGTTTGTGATCATTCGGTCTTTGATGAAGGCACATTGAGGTCGTGAGATAATTAAGGGCAACACCACTTTCAATCTCTCTGCTAGAACCTTTGCAAATATTTTATAAAGACCGATAAAAAGGCTAATGGGTCTGATGTCCCCTAGACTTTCAATGACGGACTTTTTAGGAATCAGAGCAATAAAAGTAGAATTAACCCCTTTAAAAAGCTCTCATCTTCTAAAAGAAACCATAACCATCTCCAACAACTTGTTACATATCAAATTCCAAAATCTTTGGGGGACTTATCTCCAGGCAGCGAAAAGACATCAGGGCACTCTTGAGCTCTTCCATAGTAACATCAACTTCCAAATTGTTACGAGACTCTAAAGGAAGAATTTTGAATGCCACTTGACTCAGCCTAGGAATGAAATTAACCTCTGATGTAAATGCTTTCCTAAAATGAGCAATAGTTGTATCAGCCATGACATTATTATCATCTGACTGAACTCTATTGATTATCATCCCAGATAAATCATTTTGCCTTCTAAGAGCACTCGCAATAGCATGAAAAAAATTGGTATTTAGATCACCTTCTTTGAGCTATTTATTCTTAGATCTCTGCTTCCGATAGACCTCTTCCACCATACGAAGATCCTGAAGAATATTGAGTTTTTCTTTTCTCTCCGAAACCATATCCTCTAAAAGCTTACCTAAGGACGAGATATTCTTATCAATCAATTCAATATCCAAAATCACTTTATCAATTCCTCCTCTAATATTATACATCTTTTCCTTCTTCAAAAGAATAAGTTTCTTGTTTGATATTGAACAATTTCTTGTGCAGTGGGCTGTCAAGAGATCCGACTATGATGATATTCTCCCATGAACTTCTAATTATATCTACAACCTCCTTCTCCTGCAACCACCCAATTTCAAATCTAAACGGTTTTGGCCCCTTCAAGAAGGTATTGGAACTCAGTAAAATTGGGGTATGATCGGAAGATAACCGAGGTAAAGCTTTGACAGACGCAAGAGGAAAGGCATCAGACCAAGTTTCAGAGATCAAAAACCTGTCTAACTTAGATATAGATAGATTAGACAAACTTCTATTGGACCAAATATTGACAGTCCCCGAGATTGGAAGATCAATTAAAGAATGGGTCTCTATAAACTTATTAAAAAGCCTCATGGCCGAATTAATGCCCCCCCCCCCCCCAGAACTAGTCTCTTCAGGCCAACGAATGAAATTAAAATCCCCCCCAGTACAAATAGGATGATTAAAACTATACAATACATCTGACATATAAAAAATAAAGGTTTCTTTAAGAGCATAAGATTGAGGCCCATAAACATTCATCATACCCCAACAAAAACTTTGTGTAGGCCCTAATTGGAAAATATTTACATGAAAAATATTTACATATGCAAACAACTTACATGAAAAAATTACGCATGCATACTTTTTCCATATTTTGGTAAAAACAGTTGGAAATAGGCACAAAGAACAATAGGAATAGAACAAGCATTGCAAATATCAACTGCTAACTAGTTAAGCCTAAACCTTATTCCTCACCTACTCTATTGGTTAAGATTTCCATTAGATACCTCCTCAAATTTAATTCACTCAAACCCCAAGGCACTCCCTATTTTCGATTTGTTGGTGAAATGGCAAGGAACAAGATTTGTGTGGCCAACCCCAAATACTTTGGATAAGGCTCTAGTGATGATAATGATGGTGTGAAGTAATAGCTGAGCAACAACATTGACCAACCCAAAATAAGACTAGAACTAACACTAATGCTCGCATGGGTGCTAAATTTCCTACTTTTCCAAAATTTTCAAACCAAACCATGCAAAATGAATGGTAAAATACCATTAAAGGGGATGAAACTGCTTATAAAATCATTAAAAGGGGTCAAATAATTTATATTAACATTTGAGGGCATATGTTTTTTTATCATCTCACTTAGATACATCCTATAATTTTTTCTTAAAAATACCCATACTGCAGTTGTTCAATATTTGGAATGACAAACATGATAGGCATTTTAGTAATTTGACCCTCAAGAGACCCATCAGAATGATGAAAAAATCTCAAGTTATTTTATATTACATTCTTCAGTATTAGTAATATAGAACAACTAGTTATAGTAATTTGATTCATGCAAAGCATTTACATGTAGACTAACAAAAATACACCTCATTGTTTCGCATCACTAATTCCAAAGTTCCTTGTATGTAGTGTGGAATAAACTACATGCATTTTTGTAATTCAGGTGAGGTCTCTAAGAGGTCAATTATAAAAACACCCCTGATTTATTTCACATTCCAATACAAGAGCAATTCGAGAATATTTTTAAGAGATATCTAGGTGACATAATAAAAAAGTGATATATGAACGGACCTTAAAATTTTAGGTAAAATACGAAATGCTCCATTTATATGCAAAAATTACAAAGAAGGTCGACCAACTCTCTTTTCTTTATTTTTTTATCAAACTTGCCCCTCAGTCAACTTGATTTTTTATTTTTTTTTGTTTACTTTTTTTCTTTAGAAGGGTGGTGCCTTAAAGTTTGGGGCACTACGCTAAAAAAACTAAAAATAAAATAAAATTTAAATTTGAGTCGAGATACAATTATTTTAAAAAATAAAAAATAGGGTTGACCGACCTTTTTTTTTTCGTATATAAGTGGAGCATTATGAATTTTACATAAAATTTTAAAGTCTACGTAAATCACTTAAAAAAAAGCCCTTAAATATTTATAGAGATAATTTGACCCTTTTTATAAGAGGTTTTATCTCCATTAATGATATTTTCCCCAAAATTAACTTACTTTCACCTAATAACCTGAGATGCAATTCACTAGAGACCCTCTCTCTCTCTCACTCATGTATTGATCCTCATTCTCACAGATCTTTGGTCGTGAGAGACTAAATGGGCACTACGGCGTGGGTACCTATGTGATCGGGAATACCCTCTCCTCCACCCCTTACCTCTTCCTCACCTCTCTAATCCCAGGAGCCATCGCCTATTACCTGGTGCACCTTCGAGATGGAGCTGAGCACTTCCTCTACTTTGCTCTAGTCCTCTTTGTGTGCATGATGCTCGTAGAAAGCCTTATGATGCTCGTTGCGAGTCTTGTCCCCAACTTCCTCATGGGCATCATCACCGGTGCCGGTATCCAAGCCATCATGATACTGAACGGTGGCTTTTTCCGACTTCCTAACGACTTGCCTAAGCCCTTTTGGAAGTACCCAATGTACTACATCTCATTCCACAAGTATGCTAACCAAGGTTTATACAAGAACGAGTTTGAGGGTCTTACTTTCCCTAATGGCTATGTCGGAGGACGAGCCACCATAACAGGCGAGAGCATTTTGAGAGAGACATGGCAAATGGAGATGGGGTACTCCAAGTGGGTGGACTTGGGCATATTGATGGGCATGGTGGTTTTCTATAGGCTCATGTTCTTGGGAATCATCAAACTTAGCGAGAAGGCAAGGCCGGTGGTGAGGAGCTTTCTGGTTCGGCATCGCAAGCAAGCGACAAAGGTGTTGGATCCGAGGCCTTAGTTTCCTTTTGAGTAGAACTCGTAACGATTCTATGTCAGCTACATTATTGCTCAGAAAAAATAAAAGAGAAAAGAAAAAATGAATCTGTGTTGGTTGCATGTTAAAGTGAGGTCTGGTTTCATTGATCCTCGTTAACAGCGAAGTCATCAGCTGATGTTCTTGCGTTCATCGTTCTCTTCTTCTTTTGTGCAATGATGAAAGAGGCTGGTTTTGTAGAAACATGGAAGTTGGATCTCTTGGATAAATATAAAGTACGAGGTTGGATAACCCTAGCAAGTAGTTAATTTGACGCAAACCCTTCATGGTCGGGAGAGATTATCTATTAAGTATTTTGAGATCATATTTGTGAAAGGAAAGTGTATATTGTGTATTGGGTTATTATAGACAGTATATATTGCAATCAATATTTACAAGAAGAGTTGATAGAGTATATGTACTTTATTAAAAGTTTAGGTCTGGTTTAAGTATCTATGATTTAGTTTCTATTATTGTCATTTGTAATTTGTCTCTAATATTCATATGATTAATGGACACTGAGTCTCTTCCGAGAAACTTGAGACTCTTCACAGGGTATCAGAGCTTGGTTCTTTGCTCTTGGTCTCCTTGGTCTCTCTTTGATCTATTTCTCTGTGCAAGTACCTCGACCCAGAAGTCTCTGCCAGTGGTTCTCTGATCCCTCTTCGGTCTCTCGGAAAGTCTCGAAAACTATAGTACTCTTTTGTCTCGGTCTTTATAATATCGCCGTTCTCTCTTCATGCTACGTTGCTGCCCACTGCCAGATGTTGTTGTTTGGTCACGCTCCAAATCCGAGGCGCTGCCGCTGTAAATAGTTGCATCATTCTCACGTCTTGCGCACCATTGCGTAAGGGATCCACGCACTTACAAACCTTCCATCTTGTACGTCTTTTAGGAGTGTATGTGCTTTTGAACCACTCTTGGGTTTTTCTCTTTTGATTTTCATTGGTATCTATGATTCTCTTGTTTTTCATGAGGTCTATCTTTATCCTCGTCTTTGGTAAGGTTTCTCTTTCCTTTCACGATGAACCCTCTTTCTACCTCTTTGAAAAATAACCTAAAAAAATCTCTCTCTCTACCCCAAATCTCTCTCAGATCCCTCTCGATCTTCTCTACTCTCTCAAGATCTTCTCTGCTCTCGCTCTCTGTCTTCCAGGGCTGGTCTCTTTGGGAACAATCTCTCACTCTAAGGCTTTAGAAATCAGTCACTCTCTCCATCTATCTCACATTTTGGTTTTGAAAATCAGTCTCTCTCTCTCTCTCTCTCTCTCTCTCTCTCTCTCTCTCAATATTTCTCTTTTAGTTTTGGAAATCGGTTGATCTCTCTCTAACCCGAAAATCGGCATCTCTCTCTCTATTTCTACAGTCTAAACAAAAAAAAACAAAACCAATTTCCCTTTCACGCGAACTCTCTCCATTTTGCATCTCTCTTTCTCTCTCTCTCATTATTTTCATTATTGATATTAGTTGCATCACGAGTAGTTCCCTATTGTTATTTCCCCTCTCTCTCTCTCTACTTTGCATTTCCCTTGTTCATTTATCTTACATCGAGCTTTCCTGCCATCTCTCTCTCTCTAGCTCCATCATTTTGAACTGAAACTCCCTTCTCCTGTCTCGGGTGCTAGGTATGGACCTCTATTTGCCAAATCCGCCCGTCTCTGTTGCTTCTTCTTGTATTCATTTCTCTCACTAAAAGGTAAAAGGAGTCGTTGAAATTGTTGGTGGTCCCAATGGTTCTTGGTGGCCCACTGTATTTATTTGGTCTTTTATTCTCTATCCATCTCTCTTGGTCTCTATCTCTCTATCTCTCTTTGTCTCTTATCTCTTTGCATTGACCCCTTCACATGTCTTCCTTGACCTCTCTCTCTCATTCATTTCCCTTTAAATGGAAAAATCTAAGCCTTTTCAACTTGTACCCATTAAACTCAATGGCACCAACTATACTTTTTGGGCATCTTTTATGCGGAACGTCATTCATGGAAAAGGCCTCATCACATTCATAGATGAGATCCAAAAGAAATCTGATGAGCACGGGAAAATAGAAGAATGGGCATAAATAATTCTCATCAAAGCCAGATTCATCTTAGTTGTGTATTCTTCATCCCTGAAGCATCGTCACCAATTTTCATGACGAGTCTGTTTCTCACCCAGTCGGTGCAATTTCTGTCGAGTCGTGTTTCAATTATCTATTGAATTGTATTTCAATCCTCTACTGGGCTGTATTTCGACTCTCTGATTTATCCTCTTTGCTGAGTTGTGTTTCGACTTTCTGATCTGTTCTCTCTATCGAGTCGTGTCTCACCTCTCTAATTTGTTTATCTGCCGAGTCGTGTTTCGACTATTTGATATGTTTCTATGCCGAGTCGTGTTTCGACTCTCTGATCAGTTTGATCTTTTCCAAGAGTTCCTAAAGCCATATATTCTCAAGGCTTGTTCATTCGCTACTGCTTTCGATAGTTATTGATCAAGCAATCTGAATATGCACCTGAAGATCCAACTGCTTGTTTTCGCAATTAGTATTCAAACTCCAGCTTCTCTCTCTCGCATCTTGAGTTTGAGGGGGAGTGTGAAAGGAAAATGTATATTGTGTATCAGGTTAATATAGAAAATATAAATCCCAATCAATATTTATGGAAAGGATTGATAAAATATATGCACTTTATTGAAAGTTTAGGTATGGTTAGGTATCTATGGTTTAATTTCGATTATTGTCATTTGTAATTTGTCTATAACATTCATATGATTAATGGACACTAGTCTCTTCAGAGAAACCTGAGACTCTTCACAACATTATTGTACATATTAGGTAATGGATATGTTTTTCATTGCCATTTAAAAAGATAGGGCAAGTCAGTGGGGATTTGAGCCCCTTCCCTTTGGTGAGAAAGGAGTCAAAGACTTCATCATAAGTATCATTGGTACTACTTCCAAAGCCCCAGTTTGTTCTCAAAGTGGCATGTCAATGAAGATCTAAGCCATACCTTTGGTGAGAATGTAGTCAGAGACTTCTCCATAGGGCTCAGCAATACTACCAACAAGGCCCCAAGCGTTTCATTTAAATGTGTGTATTCTCATTAGGAAAATGTTTTGATAGGGTTGCAGCCATATCAAAATAAGTAAAGCGTCCCCCCAAAACTCACTAAAAATTGCAGTTCTAACATAAAAATCCTTCAAATCGTTTATCTTGGCCTTGACCTTGAGAAAAACATTATGTTTGGCCATGAAATATAGGGTTAGTTATACGTCCTTGGTCCCTCTCAATGAGCTCATGAAATATGGGATTGGCCACAGTATGAGCCTCACTGCTTTTTGCATAGGAAATAAAGGAAATTATTTTTATGATCAAAATTTTAAGATGGTCATGTGTATTTTATATTTTAAGCTCAAGTGTACTTTTTGAGAGCATGTAGTATTGTATTCTAATTTTATTTTCTCTTATATACATCACATTGAGCTCAAATTTCGCGAATTGATATTGTGTAACATATCACATTGTCAAAAATACCAAAACGTTTTAAAATAAATAAAATGACCAGACTAATCCAAAATTTTTGAAATTTGCAGGGCTATTTTAAATTTTTATTTCATTTAATTATATATTTTTAATATTTTTACAAGTGTGTTATGACACGAAGTATGGATGCCAAAAATTTGAATAGAAAACAAAATAAAATTAAAATACATTATTTAGTAAAAAAGTGATTTGTAAAATATAACAACTATACATGACTATTTTTAAATTTTGAAATAAAACATAGATTTTATGCAAATTTCCCTTTTTGCAGTGTAGTGGCACCCCTTGGAATCCCCACTACTTAGAATTTTAGAGGATCCCATATATGGAATTCAATTTCAAATTAAGGTCCGTGATCCATTCCACGAAATTGTCACGTAACAATATTTCTCAAATAATATTTTCATGCGAACCAATAATTGTTGACCACGATAATTGAATAACTTTTAAGAAGCATTTACCATCCAACAAAATGTTGGTGAAACGGGCAGTTTTTTTGAAAAAATAAAAAAAAATTACATCATCAAAAATAGAAAAAGAAGCAAGAGAAACACCGCCATTGAGTAATGCATCAGCAACACCATTAGCCTCACGATAGACATGAGAGAAAGAAATAGATAAGGATATAGAAGCATCTATAATTTGTAACCATAAAGATCGAAATTCCCAAAATACCTTCTACTCCTTTCTGCACCAACTAATAATATTCAGTGAATCTCCTTCAACCAGGCAAGTAGTACCCAAATTCCGCTCTATGAAAATTTTTAACCCCCCCAAGCAAGGCGCTCATTTCCACAAAATTCATTGTTACCAAACCAATATCTATAGGGTGTGGTTTGCATGAAGTTCTTTTTCACATTGGGTGTGGTTTCATAAGGTTGAAACTCTAAATAATCAAAGCCAGGCACACCTCTAAACTTTGTATCGAAAATTCTTGTAATGCTGAAAATAGATTTTTATCTCTAATTAAAAAATTTAAAACTCACAAAAATGGTTTAGATCAAGTACATCTAAACATGATAATCTTGAAAAAATATGGTCAAAATAATACGTTACAAGGGATCTTACTTTCAAAACTTGAAATACATTTGTTTTTTTTTTTCATATCTATCATATCTCGAGGCCAAGATAATTAATTAAACGGTTTTCAATCGCCGAAACAACCTTTTTTATTATTTTTTAGGTGTACCTTATTTGTACATTTTAAGATGAGAACTTAAATAAATATTTTCTATATCAATATTCACATTATTAAGCCACA